TGCTTACAGCACCAATATGAGCTTCTAATTCTGTATGGCTCAGGCTGAACCTGGCCTCTGAGTGCCGGAGCCAGATCTGTGTTCACCAGTCCCTACCTCTCAGCAGGAGTTCTTGCCGTCTGCTTTCCAACTGCTGGCAGTCTCCTGTGATTGTCTTCCACTCATCCACTGTGGGAACTTGGCAGTGTGAGGCAGCCAAGGGGCTGCTCTGGGGCTGGGTCCCAACATGCAGCCCTCCGCTGCAATAGCACCCCTGGCAGCTCTTGTTCTGTAGTTGTACCTGCAAGTGCTTGTGCTGAGGTCAATCACCAACTGTTGATTGCGGAAGGCCACTCTGGAAGCAGTGTCCCACATTTTCCTTGTTGCTTCCAACTGCAGGTTATTCTTTCAGTCCCGAGGCAGTTTTCCTGTTCTCTGTGAGCAAGAAATTGTTAGTTTCACATTGTCTTCCAGCTCGTGGCTGGCCGGCCACTGTTGGTAGAATTGCATGGTCTCTCCTCCATGGTGTGATTTATTTCTTCTGTGTCACTTAATCGTATTTCCTTCTCCTCTGTCAGTTCCCCCCTCAATTTCAGTTCCTTTCCTATCTGTTGTTTTCCATACTCTAGATACTGTGTCCTGAAGCAGCTGAGTTACTTGCCCTCACTGCTGCATCATTTTGGGAATCCAGAGATTTGGGCCATTCTTACAGAAATGTGTTGGTGTTTCATTGTTTTATAAATTTGCAATTCTCTTTCTTTTTTTTATGGTGAAAATAATGTGTATTTAGAATTAGCCAGCTGGACTCAGTTTAGATGATCCCAATTTTGTTGGCAACATCCAAAGCATCATAATCAGGAGCCAGTCAAACATACACCTTCTTCTCTTCATCAGGCCTGATCAGGGTATAGACCTTGGCCACATCAATGTCACAGAGCTTCTTCACAGCTTGTTTGATCTGGTGCTTGTTGGCCTTGATGTCCACAATGAACACGAGTGTGCTGTTGTCCTCTGTCTTCTTCATGGCTGACTCTGTGGTCAGGGGACTTGATGATGGCATAGTGGTCAAGCTTGCTTCTCCTGAGGGCGCTTTTCCGAGGGTATTTCGGCTGCTGCCGAGTCGCAGTGTCTTGGGGCGGCCGAAGGTGGGTGACGTGCGGATTTTCTTCTTTTTGTGGCTGTGGATGCCTTTCAGCACTGCTTTCTTGGCTTTCAAAGCTTTTGCTTTGGCTTCAGCTTTGGGAGGGGCAGGAGCTTCCTTCTTTGCCTTCGGCGCCGTTTTGGTAAAAAGGGCTGCAATTCTCTATGGCGTTGAGTATCTATTAACATGTTCATCTGCCGTCTGTATTTTTCTCTTTGCTGAGGCATCTGTTTAGATCTTTTGTCCTTTCCTTTTTAAGTTAAAAAAATTTTTGCAGTGTTGGGGAATGAGCCTAGGGTCTTTTTCTCTAATTTTTATTAGTATGTTTGTGATACATAATAAATATATGGATGATGGGGGAATTGGTACATACACACATTACATCTTGATCCTTTTTACTTTTTCTCCCTTCTCTCTCCTGACTTCTCCCATCCTCAGACTCTGTTCCCATCCTTTCAAAGAACAAAGTGTTTCATTCATTGATCCTTTGTATTGCTTTTTAGTCTCAACTTCATTAATTTCTGTTCTGATCTTTATATTTTCCTTTCTTCTATTAGTTTCAGATTTGGATTGTTCTTATCTTTCTAAGATCTTGAGATGCATTATTAGGTTACTTGGGATAGCTCTATTCTTTTTATGTGTCCATTCACAGCTATGGACCTCTCTCTTAGAACTCCTTTGTGTCCCATAAATTTTGGCATGTTGTGCTTCCATTGTCATTTGATTCTAGGTACTTTTTAATTTCTTTGTTCTTCTGTGACCCCTTGATTATTCAACAATGTATTATTTCATCTCTTTGTGTTTGCAGTTTCTGTGGCTTTTGCTGTTGATTTCTAGCTTCACTCCACCATGATCTAATAGTATACAAAGGATCATTTCAATTATTTTGCATTTATTTAAGCATGCTTTATGGCCTAAAATATGGTCTATTTTGGAAAGAGTTCTGTGTCACTGAGAAAAGTGTGCAGTCTGTCATCATTGTCTGTTAAGTCCACTTGTTCAATGATATGGTTTAATTTTGATATTTCTTTGATTTTTTTTGTCTGCTTGACCTAATTGTGACAGTAGGATACTGAAGTTCTCCACTATAATTGTACTGGTTTTTAATCTGTCCTTTTAAGCCCAGCAGTTTTTGTTTTATGAATTTGGGTCTGTTGGTATTTGGTACAGATATTTACAACTGTTGTCTCTTCTTGGTGAGTTATTCACTTCAACAGTGTTGAACCCAGGGTCTTGAACTTGCTAGGCAAATATTCTACCCTTGAGTTATATCTGCAGCCTCATGCCCATTTTTAAAATTGCTACTTTCTTACTGTTCAGTGTTAAAAGTTCTTTATCAGGTATGTATTCTGTGAATATTTTCTTTCAGTCTATGGCTTTTCATTCTCTTAACATTATCTTTCAAAGAATAGTTTTTTGTGTGTGATACTGATGATTGAACCCAAGACCTTCAAATTAAGCTACATCTCAAGTTTCCCAGATGGGGCTCGAACTTGTGATCCTCCTGCTTCAGCCTCCAGGGTGCTGGGATTACAGGTGTATACTACTGTGCTTGGCTTCAGAGAACAGAAATTTTTAGGGAAATTTAACTTACCAATTTTTTCTTTCATGAATTAATGCATCTAAACAGTCATCACTAAACCCAGTGTCACCTCGATTTTCTCCTGTTATCTTTTAGAACTTTTATGTTAAGTGTGAGATCTGTCTCTACATTAATCTGTGTTTTTTTGCATGTGAATGTCCAGTTGTTCCAGCATCATTTGTTGAAAAGACTATCCTTGACTACTGAATTGTTTTTTGCTCCTTTATCAAGGAGTATAGTTGACTATACTTGTGTGGGTCAAATTCTGGGAATTCAATTCTGTTTCATTGACCTGTTTCTTTCACCAATATCACACTTGATTACATAATTTTATAATGTCATTAAATCAGGTGGTATTAGTCTTCCAATTTTGTTCTTCATCATTATTGTGGTGGCTATTCTGGGTCTTTGCATTTCCATACAAACTTTTAAAAAAGTATAACCATTTTTTTCTCATTCACAGCACAATCCATTGCAGGCTGAGTGGCTCTCATAAATGTATACTCAGGGATCCAGGCTCCTTCTGTCTGTGAGGTAATTTTCTTCAATGCCTACCCTCAAAGGGTGTAGTATCAACAGAGAGGTCAGAAGATTGTACAGTGGAGATGATCATGGAACAGCCTCTCACTCAAAACTGCAATGACAAAATTCAGAACAGTCTTGACAGGTTTTTCTGAAGGACACTTAAGACAACAGTCCATTCCAACTGCCTGTTTCTCTGCTGAGACCCAGAAAATAGCGCAAATGATTGGAGGTATAGGTGTGGGATGGAGCCAGCTGGCCACCAGAGTGTCCACGTGCAGGCGGTGGCCTGGCAAAGATGAGGGGAGAGCTACTGTGGGCACCACTGGGGCCCTGCCCGCCTCTGCTTTGCCCTGGACTGCAGCAATAGGTTCTTCTGGTCCTGCAGCTATTACACACACACACACACACACACACCCATCCCCGCTTCTCCCAGGATCCAGCCAGTCATCCTGCTTCCTCACTTGACCTAGTCTGTCGACTACGGTGTCCCTCGCGGGTCGATAGCCTAGCCCCACAGAGCGCCCTCACCACCAGGCTGAGGACCGTCTCCGTACCCAAGCGTGGTGCTCAGCGACTGCGCAGTAGAAAGCTGGTCCACTAGGCGGCGCGTAATCGCCCTTTTAAACACCATTGCCCTTTTAAGCACGAACTCAAGGCGCACGCGCAGGCTGGTCGTTTCGCGCGCGCAGGCGCAGAAGCCGCGGCGGATGTTTACGGCAGCCGAGGTCGGAGCGGCGCCGGGGCGGTGGAGCGCGAGCGGTGAGGTAGAGTCCGTCCCTCGGTCCCTCACCTCCTGCAGCCCACTCTCCTCCCCTGGTGCCTAGAGCGCTCGGCCGCCCCTGGGGGGGGGGGCCGCGTTCCCCCTGAGACACCCCCAGAGACAACCCTCTTCTCCCCTTCTCTAGGAGCCCCGCCCACCGCATCTCTGCCCCGTACCACCTCTCTTTTCCGGGAGCCCCGCCCCCGGCATCCCTCCCTGTATCTCCTCTCGCCTTTTCTGGGAACCTCAATTCTTGCATCTTTCTTTTTTTTTTTTTTTGGTACCTGGGATCGAACTCAGGACCTTGCGCTTGGGAGGCAGGCGGCGGAACCACTGAGCTAAATACTCGGCCTCCTGCATCTTTTTCCAGCGTCTTCTCTCCCCGTCTCCGGGAACCTCGCCCCAGGCGTCTTCCCCATCGTTTCCTCCCCACTTCTCTCGGGAGTCCCCGCAGCATTTTCTGTCTCAGCCTGCTTCACTTGCAGTCCTGAGGTTTGACTCTAGACTGGTACCTTATTTCTAGGGATTCACTTTTTTTTTGTTTTGGTACCGGGGATCGAACTCGGATCCTTCCGCTTGCAAGGCAGGCGGCGGAACCACTGAGCTAAATCCCCGGCCCCCTTTATTTCTAGGTAGGAAATTTTTCTAGCTACCTCTGAGGCAAGTCAGGAATTGACAAGGTTTGAAAGAAATTCTGCCTTCCTTAGACTTTTAAAGAAGTTGAGCAGCTGGGGAGAACTTACCTGGACCTGGTCCCTTTGGATTTTTTTTTTTTTTTTTGGCAGGGTCTCCCTTTGTAGTTCAGGCTGGTCCTGAACTCACAATGTACCCCAGGCAGGCCTCGAACTCGCGGCAATCCTCCTGCCTCAGCCTCCCGAGTGCTGGGATTACAGGCGTGCACCCGGCTGGTCCCTTTGGATTGTAGGGTCTGTGCCTCTTCCCCCAAATTAGCCAAGTATCTGACTCCGAACTCTGTTGCCTGCAGGGGTTGTCTTTGTTCCTTTCTACAAAGGAAAGGCTAAAACAGTTGACTCCATTGTAGTTGCTTGGTGGGCTGTCTTTCAAGAATGAGGGAAGTTGAGGTGCCTACAAAGGCTGAGAATGAATTGTGACTGCGGTTAGAGAAATGGGATTTGGCCTTACCCATGGTGGGTCCTTCACTGGGATCTGGCCGGGAGTGTTGTGATAAAAAGCTCATTTAATTTTTTTGCAATTCTAATGATTAGAAAGCCGTTTTGTATGTTTTTTTGACTCCCCCCCCTCCGCAGTGCTTTATTTATTAAGACAAACGCGGGGGTGGGGGGCTTGCTCGGCACCGGGACCCCGCACCCCACCCCTCTCCCGGTTCTGTAGCTGCCGGGCCGTTCGCTGCGCTGCGATGTGGACGAATCCGGGGACCCAGGCGGAGATGCTGCAGAGCCCGGCCGAGGTCAGGCGGGGTCCGCGACGCTTCCCTCACACAGCGCCTTCTGTATGTTTTGTAGGAATTGTGTCCACCCAACATGTACCAATGGTCAGGCTTTTGTCCACAACGAGTGACTACAAATAGTGTACACGTGACAGCCTTACCCTACCCTTGTGAGAGCTCTGGTTTTCAAAATGAGAAGTCTCCATTTTGCCATTAGTCTGCCCATAGGCTATATGGTTTTGGGCCCCTTTTCCCAGCTCGTCCTCCATGTGATATTCTCTTTAGGGAGTGACATCCAGGTTGGACTGTGAGCCTTCTTGTGTAGTCTGCCAAACTCAGCACAGACCAGAATCGGCACCCCCTTTACCATATCTTTGCTTGTGTTGACACAGCCTCAATCACAGCCACCATTTGCCAGTCCTGAGACATTCCTCTGCTGCTGCAGCTTTGTCTTGCACCATGTAGTGGTGTGGTGTTGGATTATGTGGGTTACTGTTGGATAGGGACTATAGTAGGTATTACAGCAAATAGTAAAGAACAAAGTATAATAAAAAGGACAGCCTAAAAGTGCTTCTTCACTTGAGAAATTGTATTTGAGTGGATTGCAGATCCCAGTGTAGTGATAGGATTTGGTTTAGTGAGGATGTCTCTTGACTGTTGTAGGTATTTTTGTTGGCATGGTGACTGATCGTATATACGTGTCAGCAGTAAGCAGTGATCTTTCTGTATGAGGGAGTATTAAATTTTCAGACAAAAGTAGTAGAAAATATCAGACCCAACCAATGTTTACCTACATCCTGCCAGTGGCATTAGACAGAGCTACCCCGATTGTCAAAAGATTAACAAGATGTGTGTGAAGAACTGTCCTTCCTTGAACATTTTTTATAAGCTGCTTTGATGTGTAAAAACACAGGCCTTTGGATAGACAGTCCTGGGTTTGATTCTAGCCCCTTTTCACCCTGGGTGTTTTTCCTCTGTGAAGTTTGAGGTTGTGACTGGGAGGTAGCACCTATAGAAAGGTGGTAGCTGTTTACTAAAAAGCCATCCTTTTGATATGAAATAAGCTTTCGAAGTAAGGAAAAGTTAAAAATAAGTGATACTTAATAGAAAATGAAGTGTACCCAATATATAGTTTGTGGTACCTTCTAAAGATAAAATGGTGAGATTGAGCATTCTATACAGACTTTTGATGAAGAGGTGGCTTTCTTGACCCGAAATTCAGTAGGACATGTGATTATAAGCTCTTTTGCTAAGTAGACCCTGAGGCATCCAAACATGTGACCCAAAGTTTAATATGACTGCCAGGCTAGGGATGTAGCCTCAGAGCTAAGGGGTTTATCCAAGATTAAAGCCAACCCCATTAGCGCTTAATTCCATCAATGTAAGTTAACTAACCATGGACTGTCAACGAGAGTCCTGAATCAGCTTAAAAAGGAGGTGAAAATTTAATAATTGAACCGTGATACTCAGTTCTCAAATCTTGGTTTTGAAGACTGTTCTACCATAAAACGGAAGAGAATTTATGTCAGGCTTATCTGCACACATTTTATTTTGTTCACTTGTTGTAAACAAGATTTACAGAGATGATTTATTTTCATTCTTTTAAAAAATTCTTTATTTTTATTGACCTTATAGTTAGTACATATTTGCAGTACATAGTGATTATATTCATTGTGGGGAGTTGGTACATGAATATAACAGATCTCAATTCCTTTTCATTCTTTAGTAAGCCTCCCCCACCACTGTTGCCATTTGTTTAGATGGGTGTCGTGGAGCCTCTCCCCAGGGTTTCTTTATGACTCTCATGCTGCTGTTAGAGACCATAAAGACTGAGGGAGGGCTCATGGAACTGTACAGTAATAGCACTGTTACAAGTTGTTAGGAGACTCTTGATGCAGAAAGTGTATCAGTCTTCATAAGGTGTGGTGGCTTTTTCCTCAGAAGTGTATATCAGTGTCACTGTGTGTTGTGTGAAGTAAGGGTATCACTTTGGGAAAGTCATCGGGGGTCAGTGTAAAATTGAGAAGGATGTTTTTATAGTTCGGGAAGAGTAAAGGAACAGGTAAAAGAACATTTCTCTGTGTACTATATGAGGGCTTTTCTTTGGTGGTGGTGGTACTGGCTCTTGATCTCAGGGCCTTGTGCCTACTGGGGAAGTGTTCTATTACTGAGTTGCATCCCCAGCCCCTTAAATTTTAATTTTGAGTATTTTGAGACAGAGTCTTTTTACATTGCCCAGACTGGTCTCAATTTTGAAATCTTCGTTCCTTAGCCTCTCAAGGATTACAGGCATGCACCACTGTCCCTGGCTCAGAAATATGCTTTTTTTTTTGGTACTGGGGATTGAACTTGGGACCTTGTGCTTATGAGGCAGGCAGGGGCCACCACTGAGGTAAATCCCTGGCCCTTCAGAAATACACTTTTGAGTGAGCTGGGAAAACTACACAGCACACACTTTAGGCATAAGAAGTTGTGATAGAATGCCCTCTACTCCTAAGCTTTAGCCTTGAAACTGACTTTGTGTTTGTTAGAATAAGGTGTTTGTCAATATGTTCTGTTTCAGAAGAGCTTTTTTGTAAGGTTGTTTTTACCCAAAATTTGGATATCAGAATATTCACGTCAACAGATAGGATGGAATTTTGACTTTGGTTTAGTATTCATGTATATGTTGGGATGAAGAGTTCTGATTAAATTTAGGATGCCACTTAAATTTGAATTTCAAATAAATGTTCAGTAAGTTTTTAGTATTTGTTGGCTTGAATTTCTGATTAAGCTAGGATTTTCTTATAAATCTGGCATCTTTGGAGGGTGGAGTAGTTGTTGACAAAAGATATTCTATCTCCGTTATTTTTAGAATTCAGAATTTGAAATTTGTTTTTAGAGTCTTTATTGTTCTAACTCTTATTTTTTGTTTGGTACCAGGGATCAAACTCAGGACCTTGCACTTGCTAGGCAGATGGGCAGCACCACTGAGCTAAATCCCCGGCCCCGCCTCTTATTCTCCTGCACCCCCCCCCCATTCTTGATGTAATTAGTTCTCTAACTTTTAATTGCAGTCTGTCCTGAGTGTGATCTTGAACATGGGCGGTGCTGTGAGTGCCGGTGAGGACAATGATGAACTGATTGATAATTTGAAAGAAGCACAGTATATCCGGACAGAACTGGTGGAACAGGCTTTCAGAGCTATTGATCGTGCAGATTATTATTTGGAGGAGTTTAAAGAAAATGCCTACAAAGACTTGGCATGGAAACATGGAAACATTCACCTTTCAGCCCCATGCATCTACTCAGAGGTGATGGAGGCCCTGGATTTGCAGCCAGGGCTCTCATTTCTGAACCTGGGCAGTGGCACTGGCTACCTCAGCTCCATGGTTGGCCTCATTTTAGGTGAGTGTGGAAGGAGAGTCTGAAGCTTGTCCAGGCAGAACCAGGCTGACTGCATGCCCTGGTAGAGACTGTGGCCTCTAGTAGTTGCCTGAAGCATAATACTGCATAGTAGGTGGCTATGGGCCCTTGAGTTCTCAGGGTGCCTTTTCCTGTTCCCTGTCTCCTCCCACCTGCCCCTTTGCAGTCTGTTATGCTGAAGGAGGGCCAGGAGAGAGGTGTAAATCTTGCTCTCACATATTTCTTGGTTTAATCTAATCAATCTCTGGTACCACATCAAAACAAACAAACAAAAACACCCGATTTCCTTTTGGTTCTTTTCTCCACCCAGGGTCATTGTAGTCCTTTTAGGGTTGAAGTTCTTCCAAGCAGTTTGTTTTGTTTTTCAATACTAAAAGAGTAATACACATAAATTTATATATTATAAAATAAATTTTAGGGATGGGAGGGATTTCAGAGGTTATCTTAATTTGAAGCCATTCAGACTGTTTTCATAGATAAGTTGTGAGAATAGACATGGGAATATAACCATTTCTGATATTAATAACAGGTATCAGATAACCAAAGATTAATCGAGTTCATTCTTTGTGTAAAAATGGCTCTGTAGGGGAAGAATGTCAGCTTTTACTCTGAATAAGGTGGGATGGATTTGCTGGAGGGGAGAGAGGTGGGGATCGGTGCTATGAAAAATTGCTCTGAGCAGGAGTGGGGCCTGGGCTGCTGCAGCAAGCTGGATTGAGACCTGGGGGAACTAACTAGTGATATTTATTTTTGTACTTTTAAATTGTGTTTTGTTTATGTGGGTGGTACTGGGGGTTGAACACAGGGCCTTCATGATACATCCCCATCCAAGCCTCTTTTTTTTGAACCCAGCCAGGTCTTTCAAACTGAGCTATATCCCCAGCCCTTTTTATTTTTATTTTTTGAGATAAGATCTCACTGTGTAGCTTAGGCTGGCCTCAAAATCAAGGTGATCCTCCTGCCTCAGCCTCTGAAGTGCTGGGATTAGAGGTGTGGCACCATGCCTGACTCCGCCCTTTTTAATTTTTATTTTGAGACTGGCTCTCACTAAGTTGCTACGTTGCCCAGGCCAGGATTTATCTTGGGATCCTCCTGCCTTCCAGAGTGCTGGGGTTACAGTATGCACCACCGTGCCTAGCTTGCAACTGGTATTTTTTTTTCTTTTCTTTTCTTTTTCAGCTGGTATTTTTTGATGTTGGAACTGATGTGTCACAATTAAAGCAGAACAAATGGTGCAAGAATTCTTGGCCTTAATTCTAAAAGCTTTCTTATTCTCGAACTTTTAGGTCCTTTTGGTGTGAACCATGGGGTGGAGCTTCATTCTGATGTGATAGAGTATGCAAAACAGAAACTGGACTTCTTCATCAGGACAAGTGATAGCTTTGACAAGTATGATCAGGAACTATCCATTGGGTCAGCGGGTTGAATTAGCTAGAAGTCAGTTTAATATCATATGTATGCCAGCAAATGTGATTAAGCTATGTTGGATGACCCTAGGTTGTATGTATGCCTGTTCTGATTTTTTTTTTTTAATATCATGGTTTTAAGGGATTTAGATTTTGTTAATATGATACCTTGTAAAAGTAATTTCCACCAATATAATAAGAGAACAAAAATTTCATTTAGTTCAATTTTTATGTTTCTAATATAGCCACCTTTTAACACATAATTGTTTCTAAAATAAAATCGTTGCATTTGTCTGTAGACAGTTTATATGGTAGCTCCTGCTGTTCTAAAGTAAGGCATTAAAGTTTTTATTTTAAGAATTAAAATGTTAAGAGAAACAAAGTGTGCTTTTCTCTTTTAACTTGTTGTACAGTAGATCTTGATTACTGTGATGAGCATGGTAAAAAAAAAAGAGCAAAGAACAAGTGGAAATTGCTTTAAATTTGGATCATGCTTATGACAGTCACTTTTTTTTGTTTTGCTTTGAATTTCTAAGGTTCTATTGGTGTAGTTTTTTTTAGAAATGTGGCTTCCAGCTCCTGGCTCTGGAAACTTACATTGCTTTCGAATTTTACAATTAAACCATAACCTGGGTTTGGTGTAGATTTATTGTACAAACTTGTTGCAATGTGATGCATTTAGTTACAGAAAGATTTTTTTCCTTTCCAGGTTTGACTTCTGTGAACCCTCTTTTGTTACTGGTAACTGCCTAGAGATTTCTCCAGATTGTTCTCAGTACGATCGAGTGTACTGTGGGGCTGGTGTGCAGAAGGAACATGAAGAGTACATGAAGAATCTGCTCAAAGTTGGAGGGATCCTTGTCATGCCTCTGGAAGAGAAGGTCAGATTCCTTTCACAACTGACATTTTTGTACACTCTGCCAAGGTCTCTTCCTTTATAAAGGAAAAAACCCTATTACTGATTATTCTGAGGTATACTTTATACAAGAGAGGTAGGATAAATCTTGATTTTTAACTTTTGCTTATTAATTTTCTCAATGATTTGGTTTTCTAGCATTTGCTAAAGGTAGTGACTAATGAAGGATTATTTTTTAGTATCATTATGAATTTATGGATTTAAACATACCTCATAGAATCAGATTATCTGGAAGCTCAGATTTTTCCATCTTCAGCCAGAGCCTCTTTAATTGACTCTTCGGATTGATACAACTTCATTAGTCTGTGATAGCTTTACTGCTATCCCAGGGTGTTAAGACATTCTAGACTTGGTTTGTATATTTTTTTTAAATCTCAGACTTGGAATTAGCCATTTCTGTAAGGATTCCTGTTGAGAATCAATGTTTAGAGGCCACAGTTGGGGCCAGGGAGTGCTCATTGACACTGGGTTCATGTTTTCAGTGGATTTGTAGAGAGGGATGCACATGGATTTGCTTTTTTTTATTTTTTTATTTTTTTGGTACCAGGGATCAAACTTGGGACCTTGCGCTTGCGAGGCAGGTGGTGGAACCACTGAGCTAAATCCCCATCCCAGTGGAAAATGCACCATACGTTCATAGTGACAACTTCCAACCTAAAATAAGGGCCAGGGTGCTCTCTAACATCAATTTTAGCAGCAGTGCTACCCTTCTCTTTTGTCTGCAGTACACAGTGTTACCAGTATCACCAACAGTTTAATTTCCAAAGCTATTTGAAGGTTTTACTTTTTTTTTTGGTACCGGGGATCGAACTTGGGTCCTTGCGCTTGTGAGGCAGGCGGCGGAACCACTGAGCTAAATCCCCGGCTTACTTTTTTTCTTTTGCTGTGTATTAGGGATCAAACCTAGGGTTCCCACATGCTTGGGCAAATGCTCTGTCACTGAGCTACTTCTCCAGCCAGGACTTTACTTTTTCCAGCCTGCGTTGTCCTTCTGTTCCAATAGGCATGTACAGTCACTGTGTTCCAGAGTCACTTGAAGTAGTACCTTCTTAGAGCTTATGCTACCAGCCTCGCATAGTGAGCTCATTCATTCTCTTTTTTAGTTTTTAGCGTTTACCATTCTAGGTTTTAATTTTGTGGAATATTTACAAGGCTCCAAAGCCTAAACCAGGAACACTCAGAATTGCTTTCCATGCATGTCACTCTACTCTGATCCCTCACCTACAGGTGACTATCTTGGTTTGCTTTAGTTTATCTCTATTTAAAAATGTACAAAGGCAAATATTCTACTTTATATGAGATACAAGCTTTTTGTAAATTTTATATATTTTATTTCTATGTATTTGATATTCATTAGATCTAAAAATTCTTATTCTCCTTATGCTTTTAAAAAATACTGTCTTTTAAAAAATCTTTTGTTGGTATGCAAGAATGTGTTTTAATGATGGGCATTTGGGGTTTTTTTAGACTTGCTGTTCTAAGCAGTGTCCCTAGGAAAAACCTGCACATATCTTTTTGTAAATATTCTTATCTCTTAATCATTATATCATCCAGGTACAATCTCCTGCAGGTACAATCACAAAAGCAGAAGTGTCTGCATTCAAAGATCTAAGGCAGTACTGTCAGCAGCACGAGAGAGGAAGTGCTTGCTGCATGCCCCCTGCGTGGCTCCTGCAGATTTTGTGGCTGTAGTATATTATGGGTCTTAGGCAATCACATCTTTTCTCTCCCTTCACAGAAGATAATTTTACTTATACAAATGATATTAGAAAACTTTGTTGTATTGCAGATTGCATTGGGCTTTTGATTGGAATTGTTTTATCTCTAGATTAATTTGAGGATTGTAGACATCTTTACAATATTGCATCTTCTCATCTAAGCTATGAAATAGGCATTATAGTTTTACTAAGGTTTCATACATCATTTAATAATTAAATATTTGATTTTCATTATAACTAGAAATTCTCTTTCTTAAAAATGTTTTTGAAAAATGTTTTTTTCTGGTAAATGTGATTAATTTGTTGATATTTACCTAGTATATGGCTGTATAATCCTTTTAGAGAACCTTAGTTTTGGAGGATTTGCTGGCTTAGATATTTTTAGGAAAGACTGACATGTAATCTTAGCATGACAGAGCTGACCCAAAATAGTACTATGACCTATTTAGACTGTCTGGAGACTAGCCTAGTCACACTGAACACATGGAGACTGACTGTGTTGTCTAATAAATTCTCTGTACTAAGAAATGTTTTGATGACCTACATTGCAGTGTAAATCCCAGTGCACCTGTGGGTGGCATTGATGTGTACTCCTCCTGAAAGAATGAGGGTAATTGCCTGGGAATCCGGATGGAGAAATTTGCATTGAAGAAAGTTACAGTGAATGCAGTAGTGCCTGGCATTTGGGCCTCTCCTGCACCCTGATTATTTCAGGAATAGTAGAAATGTCTGTATATTTACACTTAATAGCAGGGCAGGCTGGGATTCCAATTGTGCTTGTTTTATGCCTTCAGTTACTTTTATCTCTGAACAGCCCACTCCAGCTTCCTTCTAATCATTGACCTTTTTTGAAGAACCTGAGAAAGTTGTCTTATAAGAATCCCCACCTTTCTGATCCAAGGGCTTTCTTCTGTAGTCCTTTAACTAGTTTCTCTGTCATATGTATTTCCTGTAAACAGAAGGTGCTAGAGGTTTGAATGCATTCTGTACTCCATGCCATATCATATTAGGGGTTCATAATGTTAGGTTCTTTCATTTTGGTGTATTTGTATATTTTACAATTTTATATATAGGAATGATCACAAATATAAGTTATTGGGCCGGGGATTTAGCTCAGTGGTTTCACCGCCTGCTGTGCAAGCGCAAGGACCGGAGTTCGATCCCCCGTACCAAAAAAAAAAAGAAATAAGAACAAATGTAAGTTATCTAGTAGCCAAATCTTTTGAATCTTCTTGTTTTGTCTTTGGAATAGTTGACCAAGATAACACGCACAGGCCCTTCTGCTTGGGAAACCAAAAAGATCCTGGCTGTTTCCTTTGCCCCTCTCATCCAGCCCTGCCACTCAGAGTCAGGAAAGTCCAGACTTGTCCAGCTACGTGAGTACATACATCATTCTTCTTTTAAAATATTTTAATCTCATTAGAATTTAAAAGGAAGCAAAATTTATAAGAATCCTCTTTTGTGTTAAAGAGTGTTTATCTCCCACTGAAACCTTAAAATTGTTCAAAGGGTTTTAGGCACTTAAAAATTAGAATTTATTTCTGGCCCAGCCTCAGTTATGTTAGCCTTCTTTTAAATCTGCAAAGAGCTGCCAATGGGTCATGCCATAGAGAATAAGAGACTTACAAAAAAGGGGGCTAGTTTGCCATGTGGAAGACCGAGACTTTCTGTCCTCTTTGTGCCTGAGTCACAGACCTCTGCTGCCCAGAGCACGTTTCAGTCTTGCCAAGGGAGATGCAGGGTAGAGAGCACATTCCAGCTCATCCGCCAGGTACAGACAGAAGACTTCATGGAGGTTTGCTTGCTGAGCCTTTGCTGTCACACCCTTAGGGTGCAGACTCAGTAAAGAGCTGGCACCAGCACAGCATTCATCATAGTGTTTTAGAATTTAAACAGCTCACACAGAAACAAGAATTCCAGTCGATTTGATTTAAGGTTAAACTACTTATCATTTAAAAAATTTGGAAAAGGAAAGGAAGAAGAAAAACACTATACCTAGCCTTGGCACCCAAAAACAATATATTTTTGGTGAATTCTTGCAGAAATATTTTTTAATTTGTGAGGACTCATTTGTCAAATAGTCACATTTTGCTAAATACAAGTCACATGACATAGGCAAGGTCCTTGAAATTTGATAACAGCCATAGTGGAGCATACAAAGGAATTTAGTCCAGGGAATGTTAGAGAGAGGGTGATGATGTTTGTTTTTAGTCTTCAGGGTGAAAAGTAATTCCCTAAAGAGAAAAAAAGGAGAGGGATGGTATTAAAGAGTATTTACCTTCCACTGAAACCTTAAAATGTATAAGGTCGGCAAAATTAAAAATGCATCTTCTCCCATTGTGGTCAGAGTTAGAGTCTATCGGAGGAATTAGGTTGATATATAGACTAAATTGGAGTTCATCATGTAGAAAGATGTAAACATGCAGATACAACATGCATGAATTCTGGATACCCTTGCTGGTCAGGTAGGGGGTGATTTTGTTATATGTGTGCTCTGAAAATCTCTACTGTGAAACTTTAGGCAAATGCTGCCGTTGATAAGTGAGGTTATCAGTTTCCATAACTGTAGTAGAGTTTGGGAGAGAACAGTTCATTGGGGTAGTTATGAGATTTTTGTTTTTGAGGATCTGGTTGAAAATGAGTGGCTTTATGTAAGGGTCAGTCAGACCTGGATGAGTCCTGACAATGTGTTGGGTACCTCGAGATGCTTGTTTTGGGGTGAGGCCTTTAAAGCCAGTGTTGGGTGATAAATATTCATTTGATCATATGTAGGGTCCCTGAAGTGAGTAATCAAGTTATTTGCAACTTTGATCCTACTGGGTGAGAGTTTCCTAGACTAGTGAAGACAGTGAACACAGAGGGATAGAGATACACCATTGGTAAAGACAGCATACAGTGCGTCCCTGTGCTACTGGTTGCGTGGGGCCAAGGTTGTTGGTGTCCTGAACAAAGAACTGGACAAGACACAAAAGCTAACGGGAATGGACACTTACTGAAGGTGGAATAGAAGTAGGCTCTGCAGAGTGAAAGCAGGCTGGTAAACAGACTCACAGCAGCCCTGAGGATAATGGAAAGGGGTCTTTTATAGCCAGAATTCTTGGATTGGCTTCTCTCTCATGCAGATAAGGCATTGGGGCAGTTGTCCTATCAAAAACTCACTTGGCCTTGTGCCAGATTTAAACTGCCCTATCCAAAGACAGACCTGGTTTCCTGTCAGATGTACATGAAAAATTGAAAATAGCACTTTTCTGATTGGTTCCATGTACCATGCTCAGGAGCTGCAGAATCATCCTGGATTCTGTGTTCTGCACGTGTCTCCTGGGTCTTTGTGACTTAGATACATTCCTCTCAGTTGTTGGGCAAGTTTGTCCCAGCCCTAGTCTCCTACCTCACTGTGGCTTAGACATGCACTGGGTGAGGCCAGCTTTTAAATTGAATGGATGAGTGCAGACTGGAGGCAGGGACCTGTCAGAAAGTTATTGGGATTTTCCAAGCAAGAGATGAAGAGTGATATGACACTGGCCTCTACAGTGAGAAAAGTTCAGAGACACATGGCCTTACTGAGGAAGAACATGGGTGTCTGAGATGTCCATTTCTACTGTAGCTATGGGCCGGGGAGAGGCTCAGTTCCTAGTCAGGATAGAAACCTGGGGAGCTGGTCCCTGTCACTTATAGCCATGGAATGGATGTAAACCAAGGGTCAGCAGGTACACGGAGAGGAGATGGTGGTGGATCTAGGAGCCTTAGGGAACATGACTAGACTGGGTTGAAGAGGAGGATCCAGAGGGAAGGGCTGAGTACCTGGGATGGTGAGGCCAGTCAGCTGTTCCAGGTGGTACTTTAGGGAGAGCTAGAGAGGCCAAAGCTGACACTTAAGAGCCTGATGGCCCACAAGGGAAATTGTTCCAGCATCTTAGGGGAACAGTCAGATTGCGGGGCCTGTGGAACTAATCTTTCTTGAAGTGAGTTATTGAGAGCAGGAAAGTTGGAAGATCATAGATGGGGTAAGTCACAAGACCTAGGTGCTTAGGGAAGTGGCAGGACTATAACAAAGGCACTGCTGGAGCTTGTCCTGGAGAAAGGAGAATGGCCCTCTTGTCCTTGGAGGCAGAAAATCAGGAGAAGCTTATTGATAAAAGATGGAGAAGGTGGTATATATTCTCTGCCCAAACCCTTGGAAACAGGCCTGTATTCCTCTAGAGCAGTGGAAATTGTTGGGATTCTGTGCAGGCCTCCCTGATTTTGGTAATTTTCCTTTCTTTACAGAGTAAAGAATTAGTATATATGAAAATGTCTTTTGAAAGGTACCACATGAATGCAAATCAGTGCACTTGTTAACATTTGCTTAGAATACTCTCAGGTTTTTGTGACATATTTGTAAATATGCCAGTGAATTCAAATGAAATGAGGACGTTTGGATGTTTGTGCCTTGTGGCGTTTATCACTCACAGTTTCATGTGCCCCTCTTGTTCTTGTGTTGAAGCACCACTCGCTGTGCGCAGTCTCCAGGACTTGGCCCGAATTGCCATCCGGCGTGCCATTAAGAAGATCATTCATCAGGAATCTTTGAGCAAAAGTGGAAATGGACTGAAGAACACCCCCAGGTTTAAACGAAGGAGGATCCGCCGCCGTCAAATGGAAACAATAGTCTTTTTGGACAAAGAAGTTTTTGCCAGTCGTATTTCCAACCCCTCTGAGGACAACAGCTGTGAAGACTTGGAAGAGGAGCGGAGGGAAGAAGAGAAGACCTCAGCAGAATCCAAGCCAGACCCTCCGGTGAACTTCCTCCGGCAGAAAGTCCTGAGCCTTCCTCTGCCAGACCCCTTGAAATATTACTTGCTTTATTACAGAGAGAAATAAATCTCCCAACTGAGAAGGGGAAGTGAGGAAGAGCCAGTTTCAAGTCTGACTGTGCCCACTGTCTGCTACTGAGGGATCTCCTGGGAGCCGATGCCATGGGGAAGGAAACTGCTATACCTATCCACATTGTAATTTTCTTTTTCTGGTCTTTTTTTTTGGTACCGGGGATTGAACTTGGGACCTTGTGCTTGCTAGGCAGGCGATGGAACCACTGAGCTGAATCCCTGGCCCTCTGGTTCTTGATTGTTCTCTAAAATTTTGATTCAATAATGTGATTTATTTAAACATAATCTGACAAGACACAAGAAGAGTGTTTTCTTCAAGTGGGGAGATCTTATCTCCCTCTGCTGACACATGTACGGTGGGACCTTAAACTCCTTCACACCAGGTGCATGTCACACATTACAAAGAGTGAAGTCAGGACTACCCTGTGTGAAGCAAAGCACAAGTTTGTAAATGTATAAAATCCTTTTCAGTTTACCATACTGCGTCTTGAGTTTGAATTGTATGGTAAGCAACCTCTTAATTACTGGCACTGAGTTCCACTGAACTTTTTTAGTTTTCGGGAGGGGGAAACATTATTGAGAAGTCTTTCTTATTTTAATGAAATTAATGAAATGTTATGTGAATTGTTGGCTCTTAAGTTTTAAAAGAAAAAATTATGATCAGGGGAGGAAGAATAAAGGTATCAAACTGCCAGGTATCTTTCTGGAATTTGAAAAGGTTTCCAAGAGTTTTTTTTTCTAACATCTTTTGTTACCTTTAAAAGAGCCACTGTCAAGTGAACTCTTAGGGTTAAGGTTAGGTGTTTTTTTTAAAAATTAAATTTAATTTTTTTGATACTGGGGATCGAACTCGGGACCTTTCACTTGCAAGGCAGGAGGTGGAACCACTGAGCTAAATCGCTCCCCTCTTTTTAAAAAGATATGTGTAAGTAATAAACTAAATTAATTTTGCCCTAACCACACCTAGCTTTAGAGACCATAATGGATTTTAAGGGTGTTGACATGCTCAATTCTCCAAAACATACAGTCAGTATTAAGACTTCAAGACATGGATTAGGGAATGTTATAGATAGCCTATAATTGTTTTTACTTTAATTTGCTATCTTTTTGTGATCACATTAGAGTGCTCATTCATAGATTTTTATCTTTTGTAATTCTGGAGAAAAAGAGATTGCTAGTTTTGTAAATTTTCGTCAGAACAAATTATGTGTTTTAGTAGCTCCATTTCATTCGAACACTTTAACTGAGTGACTTGTGAAATCCATCTTCTCTAGGCCTTTTTTTTTTTGGTATGGGGATCGAACTCGGGACCTTGTGCTTGTGAGGCAGGCGCTGGAACCACTGAGCTAAGTCTCAGGTTGTCTAGGCCTTCTGTATTGAGAGCTTTTTTCAAGTTGTGGGTCTAGAAAACAAAGCAATCTTTCTAGCAGTCTTAATGGCAGAATGATTTGAAGTTACATTGGTGATTCCAAAACAGTGACTCATCAAAGACTTTTTTACCCAAAGAAAAAAATAGTATAAGTTATTAATCACAGTCCCAAACTCAAATGTTGATGTAGGATTAAGTACTAAGATTTTATGCTTCAGTTTAACCTCCAGCCTCATTACCTGCTAGGCAGGGTTTGATGTCTCTGCTTTCTCCAGCTTAAATGGTTATTTTGTACTTCTGCTTTATTTTTTTTGGTACCCAGGATCGAACTCGGGACCTTGCGCTTGCGAGGCAGGCACTGGAACTACTGAGCTAAATCTCAGGCCCCTTTTTCTGCTTTTTTTAGTAACTGAATCATTCACCATGAGGTGCAGTCTGCATGTATAGCTGGGAAAACACACACATTGTCCTAGATTGGTAAATATAAGCTATTTAAAGAAAGTTCTTAATTGTTTTTGCCTGCCTTTTTAACTCAAAGCCAGGCATTTTTCTTTCAGAGAGAAATGCATGATTTAAGTTTACTTGCTAATATTTTGTAGTTTGCATATTCTTGTTGACACTATTTTAATTGATATTTAGCTTCATCATTACATGGAAATTTTTGGACATAACATTAAATGAATGCTATCTGTGAAACATGTCATATTAGGTGGCTTGATTAAATTTTTTCTGTAATTGTATGTGGCTTGCATTTTTAAAGAAACCACATTTGCCTTTATGCTAGATTATAAAAAAACCCTGACAATGTATGAGACAAGTTTTTTTATATGTTAAAATTTTCTTAATATTTTGTCTTTACATCTTGTCAGTTTGTATAAACATAGTTGTAATATATGTGAGAAATAGGTTGCTATTTATCTTGTAAAGGAAAATTGTAAATAAGTTTTCCTGTGATTAAGCACCTTATAGCCAGAATTCAATATAGTACACTACTTCTGATTTCAACAGTTAAATCATAATATAATCTGTATTGTCTGCAAGATGGATATTGTAACCCCATTCTTGACAACTTTTATTTTTTGAGTAGCCTGTATTTTAACATGTGATTTCTGTCTTGAAAAGTAGTAAAGCCATAGATATGTGCAAAACAAATTTCAAATTTATAAAAGGTATGTAATTTAAAAATCAAATGTGTACATAAAAATACTCAGACTGGGTGTGGTAGCTCATGCCTGTAATCCCGGCATTCTGAGAGGCTGAGGCAGGAGGACTGAAAATTTGAGCCCAGCCTGAGAAACTTAGTGGGATGCCGTCTCAGACTGGGGATGTAACTCAGTGCGGAGGCCCTTGGTTCAACCATAAGTACTTGGAGGAACAGAACAAAGCCCAACAACAAAACCTTTTGTCATTTTGGAACTTATGGGGGGGCATTGATTTTAATGAGCTGATATACATGAATACACATGAATCAATAAAGGTAATGAAGAGATTTTATTCTCAGCATTGCTTCTGTATGCTGTGTGGGATTTAAATTCTTGACTACATTTTTTAAAGAAATCTTAAAAAACACAACTTTCCCCTCTTATTTAAATGTTTTCTTTCACTACATACTTGTATTGCTTAATTCTATAACATTCATAGGTGTAAGGAAGGCCAGCCATTGTTTCTAATGTGAAATTGGAATGAATGAATGAATGAATGTGAAATTGGAATAGGCAAATTAAAAAGTTTTTTTTTGATATTGGGGATCGAACTCAAGTCCTTATGCTTGCAAGGCAGGCGGCAGAACCACTGAGCTAAATCCTCCACCCTTGAAAAGGGTTTTGATGAGTATCTATATATATTTCCCATACTTTGAGAATGTTAAAGGATGGCAATGAGCTTAAAGAACAGAAAGTATTTAATATGGTTTGTATATAAATTCATATATAAAGTCTGCTATATTGAAGCTGTATGCCAGGATTGAAGGTAAATCTAGTTTTAGTCTTACATAAAAAATAATTGATGGATCAAATGGAGTGAAGGGTCTGAACTTGAGAAGCAAATAGGAAGGGGCTGGACACGTATGAAGTGTCAAGAATCAGCTGCACAGAGGGTTGGGGACGTAGTTCAGTGGTTCCATGCCTGCCTGGCAAGTGCAAGGTCCTGAGTTCGATCCCCAGTACCAGAAAAGTAAATAAAAGAGCTGCACACAAAAGCAGCAAAAAAAGTGGGAAAAGTCAACTCTTTTAGGTATTGGGAATCTAATCAAGAGAGAGGACCCAAGTAAAAGCTTTAGAAAGTACAAGAAAAAAATGTTTTCTTACCCAACTAAGCAAGGTCAGGAGAAAAAGGGTCAGAGGGCCAGTATTAGGATTGAGGATTAAGAATTGGGGGTTAAGTGCCAGGGATTTAGCTCAGTGGTTCTGCCGCCTGCCTCAAGCGAAAGGACCCGAGTTCGATCCTTGGTACCAAAAAAAAAAAAAAAAAAGAATTGGGGGTTAGGCATGGAGGAGGTGCGAAAGGCAGGGTTTGTCCAGCCATGGGCCTTCTGGGCCCCAACAGCAGGAGGGTTGTTGACCAGCTCTGGGGAGGCTGACCTTTTACCATTCATTGTCCTTATCATCCCACAGTGGCTCTTAGAGATTGAGAACAGAGGCCAGGCCTCAGACGGGGCAAAGTGACCACCTGCCAGTGGCCATGGCCCTGCTGCCATTCTACCCTTTTGTGGCTGAGCTTGGGGAGGGAGCTGTGGTCTAGAGAGTGATGGCTAGATTAGAATGTGTCTTTTATTTTCCTGGGGCTTCCCTAACAAAGCACCACAAACTGGGTGGCTTAGAATCACAGAACTTTGTCTCACAGCTCTGCAGTTCAGAGATCTGGAGTGGAGGTGACAGGAGAGTGGCAAATCCTGTGGAGGTAATAGGGGAGGCTCTGTTATAGGCCTCACTCCAGCTTCTGTAGTTTCCAGGGTAATGGAATCAGAGCTCCAGTTTCCACAGGGCATTCTGTGCATTTTCTGAGTCCCAGTCCTTATAAGGATGCAAAGCTATGTACATTTTCTTCTATGACTTACAATTTTGCATTTTAAAATTAAAGTTTATGGTCTATTTTTGAGTGAACTCTTGGGAATTTGTGTTCATGTTTATTTTTAAATGTATGGATTCCATCTGGTTTATTTTTGACACAATGTTTCTAGAGCCATTTTAGTTTTTCTCTATTGAGTTGCCTATGTCCCTTTGACAAAATCAGTTGACTATATTTACATGGGGCTATTTGGGGGCTATTTCTGTTCCATTTTTCTCTGTACTCTTTCCCCAATACCATACTCTGGATTGTGGCTTTATAGTAGTAGGTAAAAACTGTGAACTTGACTTCTGGAGAGGTGATTGGAACCTGGGGTGCTGTGTAGCTAATGTGCTGCTGAGGGGCAGATGCAGGAGGTCAGATACTAAGGACAGGCCTTTGGAAGACATCTCTTGCTAGTCCTCTGCTTCCTGGCTGCCATAACATAGGCAGCTTTCTCCTGCCATGCCCTGTACCATGATGTCCCTGCCTTGGAGTCAGCTAACTATGGACCGAGACTTCCCAAATGGTGAGCTGAAAAGAAACCTCTCCTTCTGTGTATGTTGGGTATTTGGTACCTATCAAACACTTTATGATAAGTGCTTAGGATCAGATGTGTAGATTCTTGAACTCTTCTTCAGTCTTACGTCATTTCTTCTAGGTTCAGAAACACTTTGTTGGCATCTTTGGTGAGAATTTGTGATTCTCTTGAATCTGTAGATCAAGTTAGATTTGGCATCCTAACAATGATCATAGTGTTCCTGAACAAGGAATATCTCTGCATTGTATTTATATTTCTTCCAGCCATATTTTAAAGTTTTCTGCATGCATATTTGTACATATTTTGTTAGATTTGTACCTCAGTACTTCAATTTTGGGGTGCTATTGAAATTTTTTTTATAAATTCCAGTTGTATTTATATTGTTGATTAGTGGGACATCAGTTGACTTTTGTCTATTGGCCATCTACTTTTTGCTTATGATTGTCTCCGTCTGTCTTAGTCTGTTTTCTGTTGCTATAACAATGCCAGAGGCTAAATAATTCATAAGAAAATAAGAAAAATACTGTTTCAGAGGCTAGGCAGTCCAAGGTCAAAGGTTGCACCTGTTTGTGGTGTCAGGAGGGGGGTGTGATGTGTCTGAGGGGCCAGCGGTTCCCTATAAAAAAGACCCTCCGCTTTTCTCCAGGTCCTTTCCCTAACTCCAGGGAAGAATGAAGTGGGGCAAGGTTGGCTCAAAGCTGAATGCCTCTGGCGGAAAATGAAGTCAGGATTGAAGTGATGCAAAGCAGAAGTTTATTTACA